CCCAGGGTGGGGCCCCCCCCGGCCCCGGAGCCACTGCGGCCCTTGTGAGGGCTGCTGGTGGAGCGGAGGCAATGCTCGCTGGTTTGGGATGCTCTTCCCAGGTGTCCTGCCCTGCATCATGTCTAGTTTCTCCATCTCTTCCCTTGCTCTCAGCTCCTGGACACCCCTGGCCTGATCCCTGGCTTCAACCTGTCAGAACTGCTGGGCCAGGAGGGTGGCACAACAAACTTCTCGGAGATATACAGGTGGGTCCCAGCCCCTGCACTGCATCTTTTTGGGGGGGTGGGGTACAGCTGCTCGGCGCCCTTGGATGCTCCCCAGGATGGGGGCAGCTTGCCCTACGTGCCCTGGCTGAGGGCAGGTGCCGACGCCAGGGAAGGAGCGAGGTGTGACTTGCCTGTGTGGGTGAGGACACGCTCCTGGGAGGGGGTGGCCCTCGCCTGCCCTGTTTTCAGCCCCATGCCCCCAACCTGCAGGCAGTGCCAGCAAGACACTTCCCTGTGGCAAACGCTGCACCTGGACCACAGCGTGTCCCTGGACGAGCTCTTGAACATCAGCCAGGTGAGTGTGGGGGTGCCAGGGTCTGGGGGGCAGAGCTGGGGGTGCAGGGCTGGCATTGGGGGGACAGTGAGGGGCCAGCACCATGCCCCATCGCAGCTCCCCTCGCTCTGGCAGTACACAGGAGAGATCTCCACGGCTTTCGAGAAGATAAACATCACCATGAGCCCCATCTCCCTGCTCAGCCAGAGCCAGAGAGACTTGCTGCTGAACGCCAGCCGGGCTGGGCAGCCCCCCGACTTCACCCCTACCCTGGAGCAGGTGGGCTGGGGGCAGCCTGGTGTTCGGATGTGGGTGTCCAGAAGTGTGTTGAGGGGGTCCACTGCCCCTTCCCTTTGCTGCTGTGGGAATCCCACTGCAGGCTCCGTGGGTGTCCCCTGGGGTCTGTGTCACCCATTGGGGCAAGTGTGCACCTCCTCCACCTGGGACGCCCTGGCTCCTCTCTGCCCAGCAGGGACAGGTTATGCCCCCCCTGTGAGCCCCATTCCCCATTCTCAGAGCTCTGCCTCTGCCTTTTCCAGCTGGATCAGAACGTGACCCAGGGAAGCCTCCTGGATCTGGCTGCAGAGCTGGAGCAGCTGGCAGACAAAGCGGTGAGAGCCCATGGCACCCTGGGGCTGTGGTCACCCTGTTCCCAAAGCCAATGGCTGCAGGGGCTCCTCCGCAGACCTGCCTGGGTGCCAAGGGGAGACGAAGCCCTTCATCCTGGCCCAGCTCTTTTCTCCAGCCTGGCCCCCCCATCAGACGGCTGTGGTGGGGCAGGGACCCCGTGCTGGGGGCACCACTGACCGCAGCTCCTCCAGGGCACGGATGTGAAAGAGGACCTGAAGGCTGATGCTCGCAAGCTGAGGGAGCTGGACAAGGAGATGCAGATGAGCTTCTCTGGGCCACTGGTGAGCGACGGTGGAGTGGGAAGATCCTAGGGGTGCTCGCTTGAGCTCCCCCAGGGCTCAGAGCCTGTTGGGGGGGGTCTCAGCTGAGCCGTGGGGTCCATGACTCTGATCACCCTCTCTCCATCACTAGCAAAGCCTGAAGGAGAACATCCACTCAGTGCAGAGCAGGGCTGCCCAGCTCGAGGTAAGCTACAGGAGGGGACCTCCTGAGCGCACCCCAGTCCAGGGCACCCTGCGAAGCACCCTTGAGGTCCCTCAGTGGAGATGGTGGGGGCTAAACTGCAGTATGTGGGGCTGGGGGCTGCTGTGGGGCTCCCCAGGTGTGCACTGTCGGGTCTGCTTGTGGGGCAAAGGGAGGGGGCCCACGCCACAGACACTGCCAGGCATCCACTCCCTGCAGCTGAGGTATTCAAGGACTGCCAGTGTGACTGCTGAGGGCACCACAGGGATTGCTGCCGGGCAGGGTGGGGGAGATGTGGGTACCCCACTTCCCCCATCACACTGCTGAGAGCACCTTTCACCCCAGGCAGAGACAAAAGCCGTGCTGGACAAAGTCAGTGAAACCCAGGAGTTCCTGGAGAGGGAGATGGCAAACATCATCAAGAACGTGAGCTTGCCTTGCCCTACTGCTGAGCCACCCGGTGGGGATGTGACCAGACCCCCACACCAAGACCTCCCTCTGTGCAGGGATGCCAAGCAATATCTGGCTGCTCGTCCTGCCCTGTTGTCTTTCCTGGAGGTCCCTGCACCCCTGGGTGCCCCCTCCCCTCATGGCACCCCAGGCAAGGGGCCAGGGTGGGGCTGGGCTTGCAGCCCCATTGCCACTGGGTTGAGGTGGTCAGACAGCCCTGATCCTGACACGGAGGGGACATGGGGCATGGAGTGGGCTGGGGGTGCAGCATCTCCACTCTCTGCTTGCCCCTTTCCAGGAGACGTGGGCCTTCCTGGAGGGGCTGTTGGACTTCTTTGAGACCTACATCATCTGGGCCAAGAGCAGGGTGAGCTGAGCCGTCCTCGGTGGGGTGGGGGGAAGGGGAGGACAGGCTGAAGGGTTCTGGGGACACTGACATGTCCTGTTCCCACCATGTCCCCAGCTGACAGGAGATGTGGCCCGTTGCAGGCCCATAGCTCAGACCCTGGATAACGTGGAGACCATCACCTGCAACTACATCCTGGACTCTCTGGTGAGTGGGGCAGCGGTGTGTGGGGTGACTTCTGTGTGGGGTGACTTGTATGTGGGTCCCCTTGAACCCTTCCACACAGGGTGAGGGATACCCATCTCTGTCCTGCGCAAGGAGGGCTCAGCATCTCCCTGGCACATTGCTGTGGCTAAGAGCAAAGGCCAGGCTGTGAGACGGGGTGGTTTGGGGGGGTCGGTGGGAGGGCCCGGGAGCTGAAGAGGCTTTCCCAGTTGCTGTCCAGGCTCTGATGGCTCTCCTCCCACACCCAGAACGCCTTCTGGTTCAGCCTGGGCTGGTGCACCTTCTTCCTGCTGCCCGGCATCATCCTGGCTGTGAGACTCGCCAAGTTTTACCGCCGCATGGACGTCGCCGATGACTACACGTGAGGAGCTGCCTGCCCGCTGCAACTGTGCTGGGTCTGGGGTCCCCCCTTGCACACTGCAAACCGCCCCTTCATGTGCCCTGCAGCAGCCCCTTGGGCTGATCCTAAAGTAATGTGGGCTGGGGAGGTGGCTTGGGACCTTCAGCCTCCGAGAACGGAGATGCTTTGGAGAAGAGCCTGGCTCTGCCTGCTCTGCAACCCTCCTTTGGGCAGCTGAAGGTGCATGTGATGCCCCCTCGGAGGAAGGAGCCCGGCTTGCACGGCAGGGCTGCAGCCCCCAGCCCGGCTCAGAGGTCTGCCACTTGACTTTCTCCGCTTTGCACCATTTTTTGTGCTGGGGCCCCAAAATGGGAGCACAGCTGGACGCCACGCAGAATGCAATGCACTGTGTGGCTGGCGTTGTTGCCACGAGGGTGCAGTCCTTGCTCATGCACCAGTGGCCTCTGGCATCCCGGGGCTGCCCCCCAGCCCTCTGGGACCCTTTCCCCATCCCTTTGGGGCCCTCTGACCAGCAACCCCACCGCCGGCGCAGCTGCCAACCCCTGAGGGTACTGAGCGGTCCCCAGTTGGATTTCCAACTGCTGAGGGCTATGGCTTGGCCCTGCGGGG